AATTATTGCTTACCTCGGAAATAAATAATTCTGGCGTTTCATCAAAACTCTTAAACCGTTTGAGTACAACAGTTTGTTGCATATTCTCTTCTCCTTTATATTCGGCAGTATAAACTGCTCCATAACCACCAGATCCGATCTCATTGAGTTCATAAAAGTCGCTATACTGCATGTAATTAACGTCTTCTTTAATTTGTATGAACCTTATGAACCTGTCCAATATTGCACGTACGTCGTAGTAGAAAACCAAATAATATTCCCGAGTAGATGGCACCTGATTTTGTGTGTCCTTTATTAAGCACAGCTAGAGTAGATGGCACCTGAGTGATCCCAATTACCCAAATATTCTCAGGTGTTAATATGTCGGGGTATTCCTTAGTTAGCTATTTGAGTAAACAAATACATAATACAGTCGTTACAACAATAACCTGCTTGATACACACGTTAATAATACTATTTGCACTTTACACATGAAATAATTTACCCGATGAAAATCAAATAACTGATCGTTTTGTTCGTCAACTATCTTTTTGAGTGTCGCGCGTGTCAATTCATTCGTTGTCCATTCTGCTATATGTGTGCATCCATGGCGTAATGATGTCATTTCTCGTACATTTATCAACAGGGAATACTCTATCCATTGTATATAGGCATCACGTTCATTCTTTGTATTACTCCACGACTCCATAATAAATGAATCCAATGACTTGTTGCCAGTAGTCCAATCAGGAGGTTGTGGTGCTTTACACTTATAACAGAATGCATCTATCATAGGGACTAATTGTTTTGTACAAGCCAGACATAATCTCTTCTCAGAATATTCTTCTATCAGACAATACTCTCCCCTTCTATATGTGAATCCGATGGTAACCCAAACATCTGTGGTAAGAATATCAGGATGCTTATCACATAACTAGTGAAAATGATACATAAAAGTCAATAATTATTTAAACTATTCAATAAACATGACGCATAAGTAATTAGTTTATCTCGGCATAATATAAATCATGTGTCGAGTCTGTCTCAAGCGGAGTCAATGTAACTTGTGCATACTTAGAAGTTGGTAGACCATTCAAGTATACGGTATATGTCTTAACATCAATACAATCGTATGGAATCCATTCCAAATAGGCATGATTTGGTGAGTTTGTTTGTAATTGAGATTTCTTAATAAACTCATCGAGTTGCTTATTGTTGCTAGTCCATCCATCGGATAATTGCTTATGTCCACAAATGCACCACACGGGACTACATCGGAGTATTCCACATGCGGAGCAGAATCCATAAAGAGAGTAACAATGGTAAAAGCATCCATCAGTAACCATATAATAGCTACTGTCATACTCGGTAAAACCCTTTATGAGTTTGTTGCGATACTTAAGCCAGTAGGAATACCTTTTGAAGTTGTTGCTGTTACCATCGTGCTTGTGTGTCGGAAGTGAGTACATTCTAGCAAACTCACTAACAAGTGTTTGTGTACATTCTCCGCTGTTTCCAAGGCAAAACAGCATTATCTTATCATTGTAACGATGAGCGCAATGGACGTTGTCAATTTGAGTTGGCTCTATGTTGGTGATTTTCCACCAAGAAATCCATTCAAGTCTTAAGTCTTCATCTTTACTTTCCAAGGAGGATTGAACCAAGTTGTCAATTGCTGGATTATTAACCCCTAGAACTAATGACATCGTTTGAATAAGAAGTTCTGGTAGGGAGATCACAATTTCCACATTTGGTCAAGTTTGAGATCGCATTTTGTGAAACCGTTTTGTTCTCGTTGTTCAATTCTTTCACTTGCAATGTCGTTCCTGAGTCGCAGACTCGCTCGATCGCAGCCGCTTCGCCTGGACAGGTATGCTTGCGTCCGTCGCCAAGCAAGCGATTCACCAGAATATAATGAACCTTCTGGATATTTGTTTGGAGAAAAGGTTCGTTCATGACTAAATAGTAACTCGAGTCATACTAGTGTCCCGATACTCACTTGGATCTATCCTGATAGCCACTACCAAAGGGGCAGAAACGAATAAAGGAGGACTGGGAGAACCTATGGGTTGTTGGAATGACAGCTTTTTTCGGTCTTGGAACACTTATCGCTATATATAAGCCCAAAACAGGGTAAATTCGCTTTTTGATGAATCATTGTTGTTCGAGTAAACCAAGAGTTCTTCTAATTTCTTATCGGCATGATATAGCGTACAAGACTGGGCACTTGTGGAGGCCCAAAAAAGCTTGGAGGAGCGTGGAGTGAATTTAGATTATCCAAAAAGTGGCAAATGAATAAATGTTGGCGTTCCCACAGCTCTGAAAGAAAGCAATTGGGTATACTGATAAGTATCCGGAAGCTAGATAAGCTTGTCTCGACAGATGGTCATGATTTGGCACAATGGGAACTGTTAAGCTGATGTTGTTCGCTGCCGCAATCAAGAATCATTAAAATCGAATATCTACAATCGTTAAACAGTATGTTCGACTTGCGGGATTGGAGGCAGACACCAACGGAAACTATTATTTATTGTCATGCTTTCCAATGGAAGTGGCAATTCTTTAAAAACGAAAGAGTTTATTTATAACTATTTGCCATTGGGTTGAGCATTCACTATGAATTCGATACAACTTTTTGTGCAAGTTCTTTTTCGCGGCAGCATGCTTGTTGTATAATGAATATTAAATCTACATCTCTTTTGCAATGCATAATTGTTTCACATAAGCCATGATAGAGCGCGTATTTATTGCTGCCAAAATACTAAAGTGTTATATATAGCGTATTACTGCGGCACACATATCTCGGTGGCGTTAATAAAATTTTATATTAATACCAGCCAACCGTATTTGGCATGTGACAGCTGACGCAACTTATTTCAAATATTAATACAAGCTAACGCCCGACATTCAACCTTTTTGTAACTTACTACAACGGCCACCATGGAGGATATTATGCAAAGGCTTAGGAGCAAGTACGCTAACGGTTCTGCTTTTGTTGGGGATATTATGGTCCATATTCTCCCCTGACATCTTCAATTTGTGACCTCATTCATACAGGGACATAACCGTCCAACAAAAAGCCGCCGCTGATCTTCGGCTGTTGGTAATTCTTTAACTTTGAATTTCGACATCTCGGATGAAAGAATTCGATCTTTCGCACTGTTAATGGCGCTATTAGTCAGTCATTCGATTTCATATGTTAATTCAACATCATTCTTATCGCAACCTGTTCCAGGTCGAGGGGCAGCCGAATATATTAAACGAAGCTAATAAGCCAATATTTGAGATGATGCAAGGAGATACTTCAGACAAAATCGGTGGTATCTTAGCAATAGGTATAGTATATATTTGTCATCATCAAAAGATTGATATAAGAAGTCAGAGATGTTTCTTACAACAATCTATCTTATCTATATCACGTGCCACTTAATCTATATATCACGTGACAGTAATGCTAGAATATCTGTTCTAACAGAGTATACTGCTACGTATGTGTCACTTTATAGATGCACTTATAGTTAATAATATTGAGACGACTACCCTCGCACGCTTTACGAGTTATCTAAAGATGGTTCTACCAGGTGTCGATCCACAAATCATGATATTAGCAGCAAAGGCATTAGGTAAGATCTGGTCGTTAACAATCAGTAAATTTCAAAAGATATTAAATTTCGCTCAATATTGATTCAGGGAGGCTGGCTATGCCTGGTGGCCCTGTGACCGCAGTGTTCGTACAGAGTGAAGTAAACATTGCTTTAGAATACCTACAAGGTAACCGCGTGTGAGAGAGAAATGATGACCATTACATCCAAGATGTATCATGATCACTCATATAAAAATTCCCATTCACAGTGATTTCTTCATACTCACTACATTTTACTCACCAGGCGATAGGCAAGAAAACCGAAGACATGCAGCAGCTCTCGTTCTTCGTGAATTGGCTGCAAATGCGCCGACGCTCATATACACATATGTACCGCAGATATTGGAGATGATATGGGTTGGATTGCGCGACCCGAAAGTCGCCATACGAGAAGCATCAGCAGAGGCATTAAGTGCATGCTTACAGATTATTCATGAACGTGAGAATAGTCAAAAACAGCAGTGGTACACGAAGATATACGACGAGGCGGGAAGAGGGTTAAAGACAAATAACGCAGATCACATACATGGATCGCTTTTAGCGTATCGTGAGCTACTGCGTCATGCTCAAACAGTATGTGACTGTTTATTATACAGTGTTTTATTATGTCTTTTTATAAACGATGATTGCTAACTGTTGGATGTGGTTTAGTTTATGCAAGAGAAGTATAAAAACGTCGCAGATGCAGTTTTACGCTTCAAAGACAACAAAGATGGCCTTATTCGGCGTACGGTCATATCTTTAATTCCCGATTTGGCAGAATTCAATCCTGCAGAATTCGTTGCTGTTTATCTACATAAGTGCATGGATTACCTGCTTTATCAGCTGAAGAAGGACAGAGATCGATCAATATGTAACACATTTGTATTAACTCTGAGTCAATTTAATAAATCACTATCATATCCTTTTAACATGAAAATTCTTGTCACTGTTTAGCTTTTATTGCAATTGGCCAGGTTGCTTGTGCTGTAAAAAGGGATATGGGACACCATAACTTGGATCAGATTCTCTCGAACATTAAGGAAGGATTATCAGTCAAGGGGTTAGTTTACAAACCTACTTCAAGAATTAAATGGTTTAATTGAACTTTTTTTGAAAGGGATATCTTATTTATTATGTATATATAGGCGCAGTCGTATTGGCAGCGAAGCATCAATATTCCAATGTATTGGCATGTTAGCGAGAGCTGTTGGACCAGCTCTTACCAAACATATGCACGACTTGTTGGAGTCTATGTTTGCATGTGGTTTAAGTGAACCACTACGACAAGCATTGACAGATTTGGCTACGAACATTCCTCCATTATTACCAATCATTCAAGGTAAATACACTTGCTTTACGAAAATCAATATTTGCAAATCTCTAACCCCTCCCTCCTCCACATCAACAATTAATTCTAGAACGACTGTTGAACATGCTGTCGATTATTTTGAGCGGCCAACCTTTTCGTCAGCCGGGCTCTCCCGTGTCTGAAAGTCATGAGATAAGAAGACATTTTACGACGCAAATCAACGATTTGAAAGATGTCGAACAGACAGTATTGGCATTGGTTACTCTGGGAAGCTTTAATTTTGAGAGTAAGCTGTGTTCGATATTTCTTATTCGTCGGTTTAATATTTATGGTCGATTTACTTAGTTCATGAATTTACTCGACAGATCATGTTTTGAATGAATTTGTGAGGGATTGCGTGGTTCGATACCTGGAAACTGACATTGTCGAAGTGCGTAAGGCGGCTGCCCTGACTTGCTGTCAACTATTCGCTCGCGATAAGATATTGGAACAGACCAGCCAGCATGCTATACAGGTTGTCAATGAAGTCTTGGAAAGGCTATTGACGGTCGGAGTAGCTGACCCTGGTAAGCTAGCGTTTTAGTATTCACGATACGCCGTATTTTGATGTAATTGTCAATAATTCTTTAATATGTCAACACAGAAATAAGTATAAGAGAAACTGTTCTGTCAAATCTTACCGAGAGGTTTGACCGACATCTGGCTCAGGCAGAAAATATCCGATCTTTGTTTATTGCTTTGAATGATGAGGCATTCTCCATCCGAGAAATTACCATCACAATAATAGGTCGATTAGCAGCGTACAATCCAGCTTACGTCATGCCTTCGCTTCGAAAGACATTGATACAACTTCTTACTGAATTGGAATACTCTTCCGTAAGGTATGTACGTTCATGCAGCTGCTACTCTGGCATTTAAGGATTTATTTCATAATATTCTTGACCAAATTCTGAAGCCGGAACAAAGAAGAAAGTGCACGACTATTGAGCCTCCTGGTATTCGCATCGCAAAGGCTAATAAAACCATATGTAGAGTCGATATTATTAGTACTCTTACCTAAATCACGAGACAACAGCCCAGCAGTGGCATCCAGTGTACTGGCGGCACTTGGCGAATTGGCGCGTGTTGGTGGTGAAGACTTGACAGATTATTTGGATAAACTAATGCCACTGATCATTGATGCGCTTCAAGATCAGAGCTCCACAACAAAAAGGGATGCCGCCTTGAAGACTCTTGGGCAGCTTGCTAGTAATACTGGATTTGTTATTGAGCCATATCAAAAGTACCCTCAGCTGCTCAATATATTAATTAATATTTTGAAGACCGAGTCTTCGGTTTCAATAAGAAGGGAGACTGTTAAACTAATTGGTATTCTTGGCGCATTAGATCCATATAGACATAAGGTTAAATGGTTTAGAATCTTCTGCTTTGTAATCCATCCGTCACGATTGATTCTAATTTCTTTTTTAATAGATAAATATTGGCCCCTCGGATGATTCTCTTTCAGATATGAAACCATCTAATGCTGACGTGTCTCTGCTAATGATGGGGCTGGGTCCACAGTCAGAGGACTATTACCCAACTGTCGTCATTAACGCGTTAATGAAGATATTGAGAGATTCGACCCTGGCTACTCATCATACAGCTGTGATCCAAGCTGTCATGTTCATATTCAAGGCTCTCGGATTGAAATGTGTTCCTTTTCTGCCACAAGTATGTGATTTGATACGTTCAATCTATTCACTCAAGCTCTTGGATGATGCTTATATATATATTTATTATATTTAGATCACTCCGGCGTTTCTAAGTGCAATGCGAACGTGTCCAGCCGGCATGCTTGTCTTTTATTTTGAACAGCTTGGATCACTCGTATCTATAGTTCAACAACATATCAGGAATTATCTACCGGATATTTTTTCCCTTGTTCAAGACTACTGGAATCCAAGCTCAACTACTCAAACCACCATTATTTCACTAGTTGAAGAAATTTCCAAAGCATTAGACGGTGAATTCAAGAATTACTTACCAAAATTATTGCCACTTATGCTCCAAATATTCGAAGAAGATAAAACTGATAAGCGCCAGCCAACAACGAAAGTTCTTCACGCATTTGTCGTTTTCGGTACCAACATAGAAGAATACATGCATTTAGTGATTCCTGTAATAGTCAAGTTGTTTGAGAAGCCGGATGTCCCCACGTCACTCCGAAAAGCAGCTATTGTGGCAGTAGGACAAATGTCAAAGAAAGTAAACTTCTCTGATCACGCCTCTAGAATTATTCACCCACTGGCACGCGTATTAGCTATGCCAATATACGACTTGCGGATGGCTGCAATGGAGACTCTATGTGCCCTTGTTTATCAGCTTGGCTCGGATTACGCTATTTTCATTCCAATGATAAACAAAGTGCTGCAAAAACATCGTATTCAACATCAGAAGTATGAAATTCTAGTATCAAAGCTACTGAAAGCAGAGCCATTACCTCAAGATATTGGTCCCGACATCGACAAATTTGACAGTCACAAGGAAGAGAGACCCACTGCCGAAGCAAGTTCAAAGAAATTGTCAGTGAATCAACAACATTTGAAAAATGCGTGGGAATGTTCGCAAAAATCAACGAAAGATGATTGGAATGAGTGGATACGCCGCCTAAGTGTTGAGTTATTGAAAGAATCACCTTCACCCGCACTGAGAGCTTGTGCAAGTTTAGCAGGAGTATATCACCCTCTCGCAAAAGAACTATTTAATGCAGCCTTTATTTCATGTTGGTCAGAGCTTTATTATCAATACAAAGATGAATTAGTTGTGTCTCTTCTGACAGCTATACGATCACCTAGCACATATACCGAGATTGTATCAACCATACTGAATCTTGCTGAATTCATGGAACACTATGATAGGCCGCTTTCAATTGACATTGGGCTGCTTGGACAATTTGCGGAAAAATGTCAGGCATTTGCTAAAGCGTTGCACTATAAGGAAATGGAATTCTTAAAGGAGCCAACTAAAGAGACCGTCGAGAAACTTATCCAAATCAATAATCAGTTACAACTGCCAGATGCTGCTATAGGCATATTAACACACGCACAGCAGACACCAGGTTTACAAGATTTACAGCTAGAAGAGAATTGGTACGAGAAATTAAATCGGTGGGACGATGCGCTGGCAGCATACGAAAAACGGCGAGAAGAAGATCCGAATGACCTGGAAGCTACCCTCGGCGTTATGCGTTGTTTGAATGCTCTTGGTGATTGGGAAGGACTATCAGGACTCGCTCAGGAGCAATGGATAGATTCTACTCCAGAAATGCGCAAGCAAGTTGCTGGATTGGCTGCTGCTGGAGCATGGGCCTTATGTCAGTGGAACATGATGGAAGATTATTTACTTAACATGAGACAAGAGTCTCCCGACCGGACTTTCTTCCAAGCTATTCTCGCGCTGCACAAAAACCAATTCTCCGAGTCAAGGAAGTACATTGACAAAACTAGAGACTTGCTCGATACTGAGCTAACTGCTCTCGTTGGTGAAAGCTATAATAGAGCGTATAGCGTTGTAGTTCGTGTCCAGATGTTAGCTGAGCTGGAGGAAATAATAACCTACAAGCAGTTCGCCGACCAACCTGACAGACAAGCCACTATAAGAAAAACTTGGATGAAGAGATTAAAAGGATGTCAGCGTAATGTTGATGTTTGGTCGCGCATTATGAGAGTACGTGCACTAGTGCTAACACCAAAGGAGAATATGGAGATGAATATCAAATTTGCCAATTTGTGCAGAAAGAGTGGTAGACTTGAAATAGCTGAGAAAACGTTGAAGCAGCTACTCGTTGGCGATCAAAGAATGGAAGTTATACATCCGTCAATATTAACAAGAGCTGCAGCACCGGTTGTCTATGCACACCTTAAATGGATGTGGGCGAGCGGTGTTCGTGAAGAAGCATTGAATTATCTTAAAGAATTTACCACTCGGATGTCGGGCGACCCACGCTCCAGTAATGACTCTCTTCTTGCTCGTTGCTATCTTAAAAAAGGAGAATGGCAAATGATACTCCAAGATGACTGGGATGTTGAAACGATACCTGATATACTAAAATCGTATGAATCGGCGACAAGATTTGATAAAGATTGGTACAAAGCTTGGCATGCATGGGCTTTGGCAAACTTTGAGGTCATAACACATTTTGAGAAAGTACACAGTGCTGAAAATGCGAGCGAGGATGGGAATGTTGCTGAAGCATCTGTCGAGAATAATGCTGAACTTCAACAAGAGGTCTTGCGCTACGTTGTCCCATCTGTCCAAGGATTTGTTCAATCGATTGCCCTTTCCCAGGGTAGTTGCTTGCAGGACACTTTACGATTACTTACGTTGTGGTTCAAATATGGTTATCATGAAGAGGTCTCGCAAGCAATTAGTAGTGGATTCAACAGTGTCAGCATAGACACATGGCTTGAGGTTATACCACAGGTTTGTTTGTATTGGTTAATCATCAAGTTTATCGTTCCGGTTCCGAGGGTTTATCTTATAACGCCTATTTCAATATGTGCTTTTGTAATAGCTCATTGCCCGCATTCATGCCCCCAACGAAAATATAAAACGTCTGATTCACCAATTGCTAGGAGACGTTGGCAAAGAACACCCTCAAGCTCTTATCTATCCATTAACCGTTGCATCCAAATCTCAGAATCCCCAGCGGCAGAAGGCTGCAGAAGATGTTATGGACAAATTACGTTCTCATAGTCCTGTTCTTGTAAATCAGGCATTACTTGTAAGCCAGGAACTTATTCGGGTGGCCATTTTATGGCATGAAATTTGGATGGAGCAACTGGAAGAGGCCTCTAGATTGTACTTTATTGATCGTAACTTTGATGCAATGTTCCAAATTCTCGATGAATTGCAAGAACGACTTGACAAGGGTCCTGTTACATTGCGTGAAATAGCCTTTGTTCAAGCTTATGGGAGAGAGCTTCAGGAGGCGGGCGGATGGTGTAAGAAGTATAAACAGACTAATGATATAACTTTCCTAGCACAAGCATGGCAAATATATCATGAAATGTTTAAAAAGATCACTCAACAAGTCAGCACTATCACCAGTCTAGAGCTTCAGTATGTCTCACCCAAATTACTAGATGCAAAAGACCTAGAGTTGGCTGTCCCTGGTACATATAAGAGTGGGGAACCTGTTATAAAGATTGCAAGCTTTCTTCACACAGTGAATATAATATCATCTAAGCAACGACCGAGGAAATTAATTCTAATTGGAAGTGACGGGCGGGAATATCAATTCTTATTGAAAGGACACGAAGACCTTCGTCAAGATGAACGAGTGATGCAACTGTTTGGTCTTGTAAATACACTACTTTCCGTTGATTCAGAGACATTCAAACGGCGTCTCAACATCCACAGATATACTGCTACACCACTTACTCCTAACATTGGTTTATTGGGATGGGTTCCTAACTGTGATACATTGCATGCTCTCATACGCGATTTCCGAGAAAGCAAAAAGATTCTATTAAATATCGAGCATCGACTGATGCTTCAGGTAATTTTTTGCACGGATCTGTCGATTTTGGTGGATTCGTGAAAGGCGAACTGACGTATTCGCATAAACTTTTTGTAGATGGCGCCTGATTACGATCAATGCACAGTATTACAAAAAGTAGAGGTATTCGAATTCGCCCTGGCAAATACAACAGGACAAGATTTATACAAAGTGTTATGGCTTAAGAGCAAGAACTCTGAGGCATGGTTAGATCGAAGGACTAATTATACAAGATCATTAGCTCTTATGTCAATGGTTGGTTATATTCTTGGTTTGGGCGACCGGCATCCTTCGAATATTATGTTAGATAGATTTACTGGCAAGATAGTGCATATCGACTTTGGCGATTGTTTCGAGGTTTGTCTTGAATGAATTAGCATGACACCTTTTCGATGTGTAGTCGGATAGTCCCATTATTGATTCGCTTTTCTATGTAGGTGGCCATGACACGCGAAAAGTATCCTGAGAAGATTCCGTTCCGACTGACACGCATGCTAAGACACGCCATGGAAGTCAGTGGAATAGAAGGCAATTTCCGTACAACTTGTGAAGCAGTAATGTCCGTGTTACGCAAGAACAAAGATAGTTTGATGGCTGTTCTAGAGGCCTTTGTTCATGATCCGTTAATAAACTGGAGAATAATAGCAGCTCCAAGTCCTCGGCAGGGGGGTTAGTACATGTCTCATTACAATGTATGTTGGTTCTTCCTTACGAATATATTAACAATACGTTTTGTTTGTAGAAGGAGAGAACTTGAATACTGTAGCAGCAAGCAATCGAAAGGCCCGAGATATTATTCACAGAATATCAAATAAATTAACAGGTAAGCGTGTACGAAACCTTTTATTTTAAATTATTGTCAAGAACTATCTAACAGATTTGATTTTGATCAACAGGCAGAGACTTTAAAGAGAATCAGGTACTGGACGTGTCCTCACAAGTAGATAAACTAATTCAGCAAGCAATATCTGTTGAGAACCTCTGCCAATGTTATATTGGATGGTAAGCAAAGTACTCGTTTTGAATGTTATAGTGTTTGGTCACATGGCTGACATGAATCTACTCAAATTGCAGGTGTGCCTTCTGGTAGTTACAATATAGACTAACGGCTTTGTTAATATTATTGTCTGTTCAATAATCGAGTGTACCATAGGAGTTTATCTGTTCAATAAATTTTGTTACAAGATATAATATTTATTTCATATGTACACCTTTATTGGGCATAGCATGTTGGCTGCTCGATTCTTCATAAAGATTATAACTACTTACAGTTATTTGGGTTATGTTCGAATTTAGCAAACTTTAACAGCTCCGCATCCGCTTCACCACACGTCAATTACGGCCCATCCCATCTGATGCTCTATTAGTCTAGAATCTCTACAGTTAGTTACCCGAGTTTTTTTCAACCATGTTAATATGCGCAAAAAAGGTAAGGTTTGAAGAGCTTTAAGACCATTTTTATTGCAAGTTTAGTATTTTTTGACTTAGTATTAGCGCGAGCTTGCTTTGTAAACAATGATGCGACACACGTAACACGTATGTGAGACTTGAAGATTTATTGTAACTAATTTAAGATAAATTATACCAAGTATTGCAAGAGAAAAGAATGAACTACTCATTCAACAACAATAGTTGATTCTTGAATAATTTTCTTTTATCTGATGTTACCGGAAAATAGAAATAATTGAGTTTACTGCTCCGTATTTCCTGAAGAATTTTTTTGGTATAAATTCTACTATAATAATAACAACAGCAACAATAATAAGCGGTCTTAATACCAACTTCCTATTAATAACACAAAACTGCAAACCTTTATTATTATAAGCAGCCTGTTGGTTAAAATAGTTTATTTGATAAGTGCAAACGTATCCAATAAGTTGGATCTGGTTGGAGAAGAAACGATTGCACACGATTAGGCATGCTAATAGCCTTAACATTTAATGTTAACGTATTCTGGACGAGGCTTGTTAGTTGACAACTATATTGATATTCTGTCGCATGGATTGCTAGAAGCTAAAGTGCCGTAGGTCGTGTAGAGAAATATAGATAAGACTTTTCACCCGTGGCAATGACTAAATCCTAGCGATAATACACTCTTTATGTTCGCATTGAAATCATTGGTTTGTTTTACTCTGGTGCAATCTCTGAACTACGCGTGTTACCTTTGCGTAGCCGAATATTTAAATTTCTGGATGGAAATATGTTTGTGTATTTCGTTCCTTGAGTGCTTTAAAAAATAAACTCCATCTGAACTCAGTAAAGAAAGATAATTTGTATGCAAAGCATCAGCTAATTATTTCAGTGTTCGGGCTAAAGCTATGATATTATCGCTTACCTTGTATTACTATTACGACTATTAGTATTAGTATTCTCTCAATGTGTCACAAACAATGTCGTACAAATATTACGTTATTAGGCACAAGTGGCGCACGCAAGAGAAACAAACATGGTCAAGGTGATTAAAGGTAAGTTGCGAATTATATGAAGCGGAGCTACGCTAGATAATAACATAACTGATTATCATTGCTCTTTATCACTTCTAGGAGTTCTCTTGCAGTGGTAAGAAACAATCCTTTAGTAATAAGTGATCACTTATATGTAATAATCTAGCCACAATTCTACAACAAAAGTCCAAACCATACAGTCCATTATATTACTGTGAAAGGCGGCTTACCCTTACACACTTACAATAACACTTCTCTTCATCTTATTTCCTCTTCCCAACAGTGACCCAACAGTAAAGCAAGTGATTCTAAATCTTGATGAGCGAGATCACTTTATCATCGAAGATCTCGATGAGACACATGTATTTGTCGAAGCATCATGTGTCGAAAAAGTCAAAAAGTCTCTAGAGGACTTGCTTGAGGAAAACACTTATAAATTCGAATCACAACCTCCTAACAACAAGGACTAATAAATTACAATGAATACTTCCAAAAAGTGGAAGTATATATAGTTTACCGTCTACGCTCAAAGTATCCCGAACTACTCATGAAAAATATACTTTTATCTACAACCCATTCACCTACGTTCAGGTATTTATCAACCGCATCGCGAAGATCTTTGCTTTCAATCTTTTCCGATGCCAAACTGGTTGAAATAAGAAAGCGTTAACCTCAAGTATATTCAATTAACGAAGATATAGTCGACAGTAAATCGTAGAAACCATCGCACACATTATGGTTGTTTATTTGCCCAGGTACTTACCCTAATCCCGTAGACCTTTTAATCCCTGCTAAAACTGCTGAAACTAGAACAGCGTCTACCGTAACATGAAGTAGTCGACCAAGTGCCATTTTACGTTATATTCTCGAGAAAAGCTTTGGGAAACCAATGAAAGATAAAAATGCAATATAAGATCACCTTTTTGGTTCGTAGGAGCTAGGCACAACAAAACGCAAGAACTGTTTACTAACCAAGAGATCACAAAAAACAACTAGAAACGCCGCACAAGAGTCGATTTACCCAAAAGAATGCAAATATACTCAATTCTCAGTCACATGACCACTCTCACGTTGATCCGACGCGTCGGGAGAATTTAAAGGTTTTCACACATTCGCAAGGCGATATTTTCTCTGAAGAGGAACCATGCTTCGAAACATTGTACGAACAGGCTACCGCTGTAGCTTTAAAAGTCAGTATAACATTCTTTCACGCTGTAATAGCAAGGACGCGAGCTATTACATAATAAGAAGAATAGGCTCGGCTGCAACTTCTAATGACCCATTTGGACACGACTGGACCGCCGCTCCACAACAACAAACCACAAAGACTGACCCGTTTGCAGATAGCAGCTCAAGTGCTGGTTTTCCACAACATGAGGGAGGCGAGGTGAACAGGAACGACTCTTTTGTTGCTGAAACGAGGAACATAGAATCAGAGAGGTGAGCACAAAGTATTCCTCAAGATATAATTTACTCAAATTGATATCGGACCAATATCTCATCTTTATTTTCTAGAACTATCTCCGACTACGCCCCTCGTACTTCTCGCTTTCCTCCAAAATGGACTCCTGAGGAACAAGAAAAGCTTGCTCAAGCAGTATCAGATTATGGCAGAGACTGGAAGCGTATATCTCAAAATGCATTTTCTGGCCTTCGCAGCCCATTGGCATGTGAAACACGTTACATGACGCTAACATGGTCACCTGAGATGTCTAGTCGATTATTCGCCGTTGTTGAAGAGCATGGGACTAAATGGAATCGTGTTAGCAAAGATCATTTTCCAGAATGGTCCGATAGAGCGCTTCAGATATGGTATGAGAAATTTAAAGGTCGTAGTGGTGCCGAGGAAGCTTCAGGAAGTTATCAACGCAGAAATACTGATGAATTCGAGTCTCGTTATCGTCGGCTATGGACAGAGGAAGAAATTGAGACCCTCCGTTCAGCAGTAAAGGAGTATGGAACCGATTTCGAGGGTATATCTCGAGACGTGTTCAAATCCTCGCGAAGTCCATTAGCTATACAGATAAAATATGAGCAGAAGATAGGTCTAAATCAAGACAAGCATGGGGGATCGGAAAGAAAAAAGAGATATCCGAATGAGGTTCGTGGGTTATTAGATGCGTACGTATTATAATGATCGAGTATCTTATCTAGAACTTAATGTGTTTATTTAATGCTAGGTACCTATATTTATCCAACAAGATTACGTGAAACTTCTCGACGAAAATGGGAATCTTTTGGTAGACCAGTCCGAACTACATTCCAAACTCGGGTCTGAACTCACTCGTTCCTGGTCACATATAGCCCGGATGATGGGTCCGCATGTTAATAAACTTCAACTTTCATTTGACACACCTCCTCTTCCAACCGTGTTGCCGTCTCAAATTGTTCAATGGAGTAAAGCAGAAAATGAGACGTTGTTCACTCTGGCGAAAGAAACTAATAATGACTGGAATAAGGTAGCCGAAAGTCTGCCAGGGAAGTCAATGGACGAGATTAAAAATAGATACGCGGGGCCAGATTGGAGTGCCGAAGAGATCGATTTACTACACGAAGCTATGAAGGAACACGATACAGATTGGACTAAAATATCGAAAAAAGTTACTGGAAAGAGTCCTGGACAATGTTGGTCGTACTGGAGAAGATCAACCGGAGCAGACTTGGAGCATGAAACTAATAAAGAGAAGAGCTCGGAGATTGGTTAGTATTGGAAGTTGGGTTGACATTCTTAGTTTTCTGATATTCTGATCATTTGAAAGAACTTTTGTGTTTACCCTGATGGGACTGATTGTTCACTCGTAAGCCTATTGACGCTAACTGTTGTCTTGTACAAAATATCGCCTTGTTACTATACTGTCTGTGCTTTCTATTAATGATTTACTGACCATGTTTAACCATTTACACAGCTACAGCGAGCTCCCAAAATGTTCGATTAAACATTCAAATGTCAGGCAATATATCCTTGGAATATGTGTTTTCGCGTACTAATGAAACAAATCCGTTTACTTCCGATAACACGAGCCAATCTCTTTAGCGACGGTAACGAAGAGAAGCAAGTAGTAATATAATGTAATGCTATAAAAAGAAAAAGTTGTAATGACCTGTCTGTTAGACACTTATTGGACAAAACCAATAAATGGTATCAAGTGTATTTCTTTGCTGTAATTTGTATTCGTTGTCCGTATTGTATTGCAGCATCACCATACGTCGCGTTTTAATAAGGCGAATCCTGAGAATGATGTAGTAATTTAATAATACACAATAATTACAGATTCCATGGTATATTCGCGTTACGGAGTATCCGCGTTGCAAATTTTATCTCGCAGATTAATTTATGGCCGGCACCTCTTGAAATAGTCGTATTGATGCTGATATTATCATATCCAAAATAATCTGTTGATATGGACTAAATTTTAGCCAGATGTCTATTAATATACTTACGATATCGTGTTCAGCTAGAATTATATCTTAATTACCATAAGTATCTTGTCAGAGGCTTCCAAAAATATATTACACCTAATTAATGAACCAACTCATTATAACAAGGCCAAACACATTTAAAGAGTTGAATCTGATTGGTTAGACTGTATCAATTATCGAATAAATGAAAGGTTAAGAGTATTAACTAAAAACAGTATAACGAGCGGATTGTTCTTTTTAGCAATCAGCTTATTGCCAATCTCCTTTCTTGTACCAAGACAATACACGTCCTTTTGTACTCGCGCATCGAAACCTTAACTCTTGTTTATTGTTGTTGTTTATCCAATCAGCATAACGACGCGTGTAAGCTCTCATGTCCCATCTGAGAAAGACATTAAATATGTCACGCGAGTGTATATCACGTGGATTTATGCGACAGATGCATAGTCGACATAATTGGGAGAATTAACGCGTGCTTTTTTTATTACGGGAGCAAATATCTATATATATACGTACGCACAGAGAGCTTTCCGGATTGACGAGGATAATATAATCTTAATAAAATTAACGTTAATAATCATACTGTACTATAGTGCTAATAATTATTATCACACACTGGACATCGACGATGACGACACATGGGGAAACTATCGATCAATTGACAAGCACTCCGACTGCGACAACTCTAGACGAAGCTCTTGATATATATACAATGATTACGGAGCAGGAGACGAATGATGAGGATACTAATAATAATTCGAATATTAATGGAAACTGTACAATTGAGTTTGTTGACTTGGTTGAAGAATTCGGGGAGGTAAAAAATACTACTAACAGATAGATTAGTCGATGATCAACTAATCATGCTTATTTGTTAATTTTAGATACTGGGTTCACAGATAATCGACAACCTAACAATACCTCTGCAATGTGCCCCGTCGCCAACGCCAAAAGAATCGACCACATGGGAAAACTATCTTATGCTCGAATCAATCAGAGACTATCTTCCAAGACAAAACAGTCTTTATTATTCTCCAGGTATAGCGCATTTTAATGATTAACAACTGTAATTAATGGTTCATCAATTAAAACCCCCATCCCCTAATATTTATGTTGTTTTACCTGAAGGCAACCGTCACATTAATTCAAAATATAATATGGTAATAAAGAAACCCTTTCCATTCTACGAAAGATTAGTTAGTTCTCTCGAGGTACATCTTGAAATGATATCCAAACACTTTTGCCATCGCCAGTACGTTGTGCTCAGCATGATTGATATGGAATCACCATTTATTGCCGTTAACAAAGTGTGTGATAAAACAAGACGTAAAGAACGCAAAGTAAAATTGATGAGAAAGTTAAAGTGTCCGCATTAGACAAGAGCATAGAGATTGTAAATAGAAAGATTTGAAGAAGAAAAAAAAAATCTTTTTTATTTAATGAATAAAGTAACATCACGTGTAACATGCTGATCTGCGTTTGCTAGAATAGAACTCGTCTTTTCGGATATGATTGACATTGACTATATTAACGGTTCACTGCTATATCACATTACCTTTTTGTCAAGATGTCTGTACTTTATAACGTCATGGAACTCCGTTGTCGAATCCGTAAGGGTTAGGCGGAAGTAATTGCTAGTATAATCAAGTTAGATAATACAGTGTGTCTTATTCTTTCGGTCGATAAATACTGTGAACTATTATTTCTCATATTAATGTCAAACGATAATTAACACTTTTGTACAAAAATAAAAAATCACCGGCAGTGTTCTAATAAATTAGTTAAACATAAGAGAACTAATGTCGTCGATTTTAAGCACATTCTCCTAGTAGGTTTTTCGACATGTCTTAAAGAGTGGATTATTTGTAATTACAAGAATTTCAGTATATCTCATCGGTATCTCTCTCAGTCGGTAAAGCTAAACTATCTAACATTAGTTTAGTATTAACTAGTTTATTATTTGAGTAAGATAGTATTCTTAAGTTAGTTAATTCACTAACCTCTAAATCAGTTAACTGATTATCACAGGCATATAATTCCTTTATTCCTTTACAGTCTTTTATTTTTAAATTAATCAGTTTGTTATGAGAAGTAATAACTTTTTTTTTAATTTGGGACAATTAATAAATTCTACTTTTGATAATTTATTATTATCTAATTTTAAAGCAATTAATTTCGGGAAGTCAGCAATAACTAACTTGCCTTGTAAACTGTACCAACTAAAATTAATGTTCTTAACAGTGTCTTTATGTTTAACTCGATGTTTTAGTCAAGCACATAATTATTCTTGGTTTTCATATCCTCTATTTGTCATAAGTAATATGTCTTTATTGTAATTGCAATATAAATTATATTTTAATGCATTATACAAATTATATTGGTTTTGGACAAGTGATATTTTTAAATTTATCTCTGACAAAAGGACAATTATTTTTGTAAAGGTATGCTTGGTGTTTGTAATCCAAAGGAGGAGGGGTCAGCACAGAATGGAGAAGGATTTAATTTCTTTGGTAATTTCAGAAACACTTGCTTTTCCAGCTTTCAATAGATTAAGTACCATTTGCGACCAGTTGGGCTTTGACAACTCCAGGTCGAGTTGCTTCAAATAAAAACTGCTGGTATTTTTGCAAACCATTTAACTTTTTAAAGAAAATTACAGCACGGAATTAAAACTTAAGTATTAATCTAGCTGGACTCAATTTTTTCACAACTTCAACAATATAATGCATACAATCTACCGTTGTTTTTCTATAGAGTTTTTTAATCAATCCAAAACTACCATCACACTTAATTTAGTATGTCCAGGTATCATAAAATCTAATTCGATACTTTCATAATAGCCACAAATTATTAAATATGGATAAAATCAAAATGGTGGCATTATTTTTATTTTATCATCGCAAGTAATCTTTAAATACTTTTCACCTTTATTCAATTTTTTAATTCCATCAAATACCATGCTCAGTGTGCTATTAGGACCTTCCCTATTATTTTGTCTTCATCAAGAATGTAATTAATTTGTTCGCGTACTGAATACCAAATAAATGTACTTACGTGGACTGAGATAATAATTCTTACTTACTTGTTGATCAGAATGTGAAACGTAAACATTTTATGCAGTAGCATCAACGCTACAATAATCAGCTTTACCTCTTGTTATAAAATGCTCATCTACCAATTTTCTCTGTTGTTCTGCTAATTTCGTATTTTTGTTGTAATAGTTTCCTCTAATTTAGCCTTAACTAAATGCTCTTTGTATTTTTTTTCAGTAAATCTCTTTCTTCTTCTTCCTTGCGAGCATTATACTGTAAGCCGTTCCGAAAGTGTTGGCGCGTGTCACATAAATCCATTCTTGAGCTCATTATTTGAATATAAGGTGCCATAACTTACGGAATGCATCATATTTTAACAATTTCAATGTGCTGTCGTTTTTGAGGCTTGCAATAAAATTACGATAGGCCGATCTGTAACTATTTATTTCCGAGGTAAGCAATCTTTGTTGTTGATTAAGTAATATTTAATCTGACTCTGTATTTATTTGTATTTAGTGGTTCAGAAATTATGCCAAGTGTGCAACTTATCGTTTCCTTGAACTTTATGGAGTCGCACAAGACCCAGAGATGAAAGAGTTATGCAATATGGAGAATTACAGTGTTTGTGGATGTTGCAAAAATTATTATAGTACAGGGTTTGTGCATCGTGATCTTCATGGCGGAGACATTCATTGTTTTACGTGATAACAGCAGGAACAGAATTTCGTGCAAGTCGCGCATATTATGCGACCTTGGTCTCTCTCAATCGCGAGTCAAATTCAACAATTCGAGGCGTTTTGCACCGGAAGTCTTCTATAATGACAAATTTACTCAGAATCAGACGTATAGGCGTTTGGTATTTTTATGTATTTGATGAACCACCTTTTGGAGATAGACACTTCAATAGAGATTTAGTATGCGATATTATGGGCGGACTACAACCACCGATGCCCGATTCGGCACCAGAGGTATATAAGAAACTTGCATCCAACAATACACGCACCTCCACGGTTTAACCGTAAAGACACAAGACGATAGGTTTGACATATGGAATACCATATGATTTCGACTTGCATTCATCCAAAATGCCGTTTAAACTCTTATATTGTCGTCTTCCTATAATTTACAATAACTTTTGCGTTTATCTTATAAAAGAAAGTTATGCTCAATTTCAGCGCCCCGCTTTGTTGCTCGCGATACTTCTATCTGGTGTACGAGTAATGTACAGTACTTTAACGGCAGTATAGGCG